GTTTAAAGTGTCTTACATATTGTTGGTAGGTATTATCTACTTTCAGCATTACAGCATTAAAGTACTGTCACTTGAAAGAAAACCTTTAATACAGTATGTAGAGGTTTTTTTACTCTTTTTGCTGTTGAAGCATCCAGCAAAAACAATGACTTATTTTCTGATCTTGTGAATAAAAAGTAAAAAGATATTTAACAATATTTGTTCATTTTCAACATATTGGTATCAGTCTAATAACTAAACTACAAACCTGACTCACTTACACCAGTTCTGTTAGGAGGAGCGGACCAGAACTAGGACCAGAACTTCAGCAAACTATTGTGAGAAACTTGGGAAAGGAGACCCTAAAAGCATGACTCAAGTCAAACAGCTAAAAGGCAATGCAATCAAGTACTTAAAAATATGTACAATGACGTTAATAAATGAATATCTGTATTTTCTCATTATTCTGACATTTAGCAATTCTAACTGACCTAAAACAAGTGAAGTTTGGTCTTATTTTCCTTCAGACAGTGAGAATTTTTGTTAATCTATTTATCCTGTGTATGTAAACTTCTGGTTTCAACGGGTAACTCTGCAGCTGATTCAAGTGTCACACATCAGCTAATGATATCTATTTGGAAAGCAACGACCCAGAAACTCGAAATCCTGGGTGACCCAGCCTGTACGGCAATTCAGTTTTCCTTCACAATAGAACAAAACAAACCATTCGTCTTAGAGTGACAATGTTACCTCAGAAAAGCACACATTCCCCATAATTACAGTTGTTACTGGCCTAAAGTCTAGCAGCAGGAATCCAGCTTGGGATATTTTGGCAGCGGCACCGAGAAGAGCTCTGTCTGTTTCGCTGGCGAGTGTTGGGGCTTCGCCACAGCAAGACCTGTGTGGTCGATCGCCGCCTGAACCCAAAGAGCAATCACACCGAGGCCAGACGTCTGGCCACACAGAAGCAAAAAAAACAACTACAGTGATACCCTGGCAGAGCTGATTAATAGCTGAAACCACAAGCTGGGTGTACGAAAGGGACTTTCTTTTTCCAAGTGGATGTGAGGCTTCACTTCGCTTGATTTCTGTGAAACAGGGCAGTCAGAGGTGGAAGGTTGGTGGGTTACAGTTGGGATCAGTTGTCGCTTGATGCCTGATCTGATTTTAAGATACGAATGCTGAACTTGGGGAATCTAAGAGACTTCCCTTGCTGCACTTATGTTTCAGCTGGTTTTGTATTCCTTTCTTGCAATTTGTCAGATTTTGACGAGCCAAAGCTTCAAAGAGATTAGAAAACAAGGCCTTTAGATACCACAGCCGCTTTGTAGAAACAGGAACCCAGGAACACATGGTGCATTTGACTCTTTTACATTTATACATGTGGACTTGTTAAGGGATCAAGAGGTTGAAATGGTTGTGCATAAGAAATGGGGCTGAAACATCCTGCATCCTTTGCTACAAATGACTGTATAGAGGGATGCTATGTTACTGCATTTTAGGGAATAAATTATTTATTTTCTTATTCAAAAAAGGAACTGATTTACTTGGTTATGTATTTTTACTGTTGTGTAAAAATCTGCAGCAATATTTTTTATCTAGTTATTCAATTAATCATCAGAATTCGCAAAAGAATAATCGCTTTCTCAAATAATTATTTGCAGCCCTAATTAAAAAGTAAAAAACAAAAACAGGGGACAGTCTGATGTAGAGTGGCAGAAAGCGTCAGATAAGATACACCAGAAACAGCAGCACACGCCACAGGGCTGAGACGCTGAGTTCATCCTCCTGTCTTATCTTAAATAGGTCTGCACGGATGTCCCCTGAAGAGCACAAGGAAGAGGAATCCTCCAGAGGGAAGGAGGATGAAAGACGAGCCGTATCTTATCTCAGCTCTGTGGAGAGCGCTGACGCAGGGGACAAAACATTACAATAGCAGAAGGTTGAGCTTGAGAAAGGGAAGTTCAGAGGAAAAAAGGGAAGTGATGTTGGATATCTAAGGCACAGAGAGACAGGAGTTAGACAGTGAGTCAAAGGAGAAAGCTGCTCCTTTCACACAAAAAAACAAAACAACTGTCACTGGGCTGGTTTCACTTTCAGTGTGGATTTGCTTTTATTCTATATGTCTTCTATAACCTCCAAGAAGATATTTTAAGAAAAGAAATGCATTTATATATGAACAAATGTCAAGTTTGTGACAGGGGTGACATCATTTTGAGACAAACATGTACCAGAAACATCAAAGTACAAAATATGGTAGATTTGTATTTGGCTTTCAAACAAAACAAATATCCATCTCCGATTTTAAAAAAAATACCACAGACAATATTCCAGACCTCCTTCTATAGAAAGGAAAATGTTGCCCCCTTTCAGAAGAATTGGCTAACTGCAAGGGCTCACACACAGAGTTAGAGCTACATAACTATTTCACTTGCTTTAGAAATACATGGAAATTTTGTTATACTTCAACTTCAGAGTAACTAAATTAAAAAATACTTACCCGCTCCTGTCCTGCCGTGTCCCAGATTAGGAATTTATGCATCTCGTTTTGGTATTGCACTGTCTTGGTCATGAACGATGCGCTGTTGGAAACAGTGAGCAGATGATTAATAAATTAATTTGAAAATCTTGGATGGGTTTATTTTGAGGCTCAAGAAAATAAAGTCAATAAATGTCTGATAACTGTTGATACCATCTTTACTTTTTTATTATACCCTCTTGAAATATTTCTACTTAATTTCTGATCAATATGTAAATAATAAAAAACATTTTTAACATCATATTTTAATTATTATTACTTTTTTTATTTTTCTAGGTTGATCAGATGGCATTTATTTTAGCTGCATTTAAAAATATTTTGTGACTTTTCAAAATCAATCTTGTTCGCTGTGCGGATTTGACTCTCCTAGAACTGCCCAGTATTCCAGATCCCGTTTATAGTCTCAAGGTGTAGTATTAGACAGGAGGCTGTTTTAGGAAGATCAGAGTGTTTGTTTTTCACCAATTATTTGGTTGTCATGTGTGTTTGCATTTTCAAGCCATGGTCTTCAACAGGAAGTTGAGTGCCAAGTAGCTGGAATTAAAGCCAGCTCTAAGTCAGAGGCCATTATTTTTTACCAAAGAAAAGACGGAATGCTCCTTTTGTTTTATGAACAGTGACGATGGATTGCTGTGGTCTGTTGAGATAATGAACTAGACGAGTCGAAAGCCAAACGTCTCAATATTCTGGTCTATCAACATTCCAGCAATGACTTATGGTATGACAAGTGATTCATGAAGCTGGACACAAATGGCTGAAATCAGCTGGAGAGAAGTCAGACTCAGACCAGAGGTTGGGTAAGAGATGTGTCATCCAAGTGGGATGATGCTGGTCATCTGCACCAAAACGGGTGAGCTCAAGTGTTTCAGGCATCTCTTCAGGACGCCTTTTTGAGATTTCTCAAGCCCATTCAACTGGGTGGAGAGCCTGGAGCAGACACATGAACACACTGGAGGGACGATAATTTCTTTCTGATCTAGGAACACCTAGAAATCCCACAAAATGACATGAAAAGTGATGCTGGGAAGAGGGACATTTGGTTTTCTCTTTTCCAGGCTGTGACTTTTATGTCCTGATCTCAGATAAATTTAATTCAAAGCAATTCAAAAATACTCTATTGATGCCAAATGAGAATTAAAAGTTGTTGTAACTATAAACACAGTGGATGGATGGATAATAGTTTTGGGGTATTTTTATTAATAGCCTTATTAAGTTATTTTCTTAATTAAAAATCAAAATTATACTTAAAAACACCCAGTTGACCTAGTTTGCATCTAATAAGAAACAGAAAACTTGCATATTGTCATAAAGACTTTGGCAAACAATCATTTTAAAATAATTATCAAATGTTTGACAATAAGATAGCCCCATTTCCTGTCAACAAAATGCTTCTTTTCAGCTTTTACTGAAATCAATACCAACCATTTAAGAAAGCATTCTCCCAAAGCCACCAAAAAGGTGACAGTATATAAGCCACAGGGGAAACTTACCCAATAGTTGGGTTGATATTTGGGTCAAAGCTGTCCTCCACAAATCTACAAACAATACTTGATTTTCCAACTCCAGTATCCTGCAGAAACAAAACAAAGAGAGTTTGTATTAAGCATGGACAAAAGCTATTTTGTGGCATTTTCTTCTTGACTGCTACATTACAGAGAATTAAACAGGAACCATGAGCTTATATTATTTCCTTAGGCAAAAAAGTCAGTAGTTTAAATTAAGCTACTGACAGATTATTTCCGTCTTTACTGATAGAATATTTTTAGCTGGTTGACTGTCCTCGTTCTTTTTTTCTGATATTCTCATTGTGTCATTAACCTATTAATTAGGTATACAGGCTGATAATTCAAGGTGCTTATCGTACATATAAGAATAGTATTTATGGCAAATTGAATAGTATACAAGACGATTAATTACCTAAAATCATGTTTAAAGTGTACCTGCTAAACCTTCACGTCAGATCATATTGAATGTAGTTTTGATTACAAACGTAAGTACAGATCTGGAACATCACAAATACATAAGTCTTATCCTTAAACAAATCGACACCGTGACTTACCCCAAGGAGACAAACTTTCAGCTCTCTCAGTGCCATGTCGTTGTATCTTAAAGCGAGATTAGATTGAGGTTATGTACAATTTTCTCCTCTTCTCTCTTATCTGAATATTCTTCAGGTGGTCTCTGTTTGCAAACACTATAGCTTCATAGTGAACAAAAACTGTAAATGGACATCCTGATTTAGGCAAAAAATCCCACAGTACGCATCAAAACGTCTCGAAGTCGTTCCTATTTCATTAAATATTGTCATTATTGTAGGTAGCTAGCTAGCTAACTGCGAAGCCGCTGAGTCGCGCAGGCTCCATCTTGAACTACGGCATATAGTCACGTGACTGTATAGCCTCTCTTTTTTTGTTTGAAGGCGCACAAAGAAAAGCTCAGTTTTTGCTCAGTTATGTCGAGTTTGTACCAGAGCTGCAAAACAACAGTAGCAGTAGTTGTTTAAAACATAATTAGTCGGTAAAGGGCAGCGTCGGGAAGTACTTTCAGGAAGTAGTTTGTTGCCGTGTTTGAGTGACAGCCCATAACGGGACGGCGGACGGTGTTGTATCGAAAAAGGCACCCCTGCCATGAAAAGCACCCCTGTCGTCGGAAGCGCATTAGAAGGCAGATAGGCAGCCCGCAGAGCCGAGCCGATACTCAAGATGGCAGGTAATAACACTTTTTTAAACCATATTTTCTTACAAACTTTTGGATTTTTTTGTTCTAGATAAAGTGCCATTTTATTGTTCAGAGATGTATTACTTGAACTGCAGTAACTATTTCACCACTTGTTTGGTGTAATGGTAAATTAGGAAAGCCGACTCTAGAGCAGGGCTTGGACAACCCGTGTTAGCAGACTTAGCAAGACTAGCCTATTCGCTAACGAAAGCTAATCAGGAGTGTCGAAATGGGTCGTTTCAGAAGCGTGCTTTGATAATTTATTTTCAAATTGAGAATGTCGTATTATAAAATCACCGAGTTAGTTTTATTTAAATACAGATTATCTCTTTTGTTTGGATGATTTTCGACCTGTTGTAAAAGCAAATGCTATCGAGTTAACTTAGCTAGCGTTAGCCGGGTAGCCACAGTCAGTGTCAGCCATAAGCTGACAAATCCTGCCATATATCATAACAAAGTGTATTGTTTGTTTTTGGTCGTTGGGTATATTGCTGGTGCCTTAAAGTCTATCGCAACGTTTTCTATTTAAGTTGTAAAACACCAGCTCCATAACATCGTTCCAAGTTTTAGGGTGTTTTAAATCTGGAGCACATTCCTTAGCCTCAACAGCTGTAAACACAGGCTTCGCCTCCTGGATCCTTTTCGGGGCTCCTCTTTGAACTTTCTGGTGTTATGATGTCTCTATTACTGAATGGTATAAAAAGTCGTATTTTTTATTTGTTCTCCAATAAAATCCAGTAGGTTTAGAGTGTGTTGGTCAATGCAGGAAATGTCCCATCAGCAGTAGTTCTTTATTAGTAAAATAGGCTACGTACATAACAATATACATGTACATAAAATAAAGGACAAACATTGTAATTTGGAACATATAATAGCATAAAGTAGTTAAACATATCGCAGTCGGTTGTATCAATACTCATGCAGATAATATTTCTTTATCATTGTTTTATGTTGGCTACAGATTTTTTGTTTTTGAGAAAGATTTTAGAGTTTTGAGATCATTATCAGGTTTCTTATAAATAATTAGATCGAGTAATTGGTAGATACAAGTAATGAATTGTAAGGCTTATAACAGGTTCTCTTCTTGTCACTCTGTAATGTTATTTGTAGGGAAACATTTATTAATAGTGCTTTTTGCTGAAAATCTTAATGATTATATCATTATTGGCTAAACTACAATTTTTTTTAAGTTTCCTGAAACTCTTAATTTAGTTTTAAAATCTCAGCTACTATAAACATACATTACTTGAGGGTATTAAAGGCGGTTAATCCATCCAACTATTCCAATATATTATCAATTTTCAGCATGAATACATGGTCTCCTAATAAAATGCTGCATCCAAAATTATTATTATTGTGTTTGCTGCACTCGCTGACATGATAAAACAGTTAAGATTCAATGTTTTGGTTATTCGATCATTTTTAAGCATATCTGTTATTTTATTAAGCCAGAATAAATTATATGGGTCATATATATTCTCTGTGTAATTCCTTTATTGGATTTAAAAATAAATAAGCAGACTGAACTTCTTATTACAGGAGAGATGAACTGGATATGAGGCTTTTTCAATTGCGATAATGCTACTAAATATTATACTGGATCCCATGATCTTCTTGTCACATAATTGAATTATCCACCTTTGAACTGCAAATCTTCCAAACAACTTCAGCCTGAAAACCTCTGATTTTATTCTAAGAGCTCTGTTTAGTAAAAATGTTTTGATATGAAATGTAATATCAAAGTATACTAAAATATATCAAACAAAATATGAATTAGTAAAGCAAAAGTGTAGTTATGTATCTAAAAGATAATTTAGATGTTGAGTTGAGAGAAATTATCTTATGCACCAAAGTTTTAATCATAAAGTGTGTTAAAATTTAAATTGTAGGCACAATAAAAGATCAAATGCAGTCAGTCACACCTGATGCAACACTCTTGCTCACCAAACGTTTATATTTATTTTATAAATGCAACTCCCCACCTACTGTTTTATTGTTGCAGGTCTATCTTTATACTTTGAAGATGGCCATGATGATCTGGACGATTGTAAGTATATCAATAAATTTGTATGACAAAATATAGACATATATATTTAAATATATAATATATTTAAAAAAAAACACAATGAATTTTATTCTGCCTAGAGGTTCTTTTGTTTTTGGACAACTTTTTAGCGTTGATACTGTGCT